ATTTTCCTAATCCGCCTACACCAGGCAACCAACTCTGCTTCTATAAATTCAGTTTTTTAAAACTCCACATATGCGTGAGATAATACAGCATTTGTCTTTCTCCGACTTATTTAGCTTAGACTGAGTCCCTCAAGGTCCATTCATGTTGTGACAAATAGCAGGATTTCCTTCTTTTTTATGGCTGAATAATATTCCTGTGGGTGTGTATGTGCAGTGTGTAATTTTTTATTTCTGCAAATGGGTCCATGTTATGCTCTAAGTTTTAACCCATTTAAAATATTTGGTTCTTCAGTGACTTTTAAAAATAGCATAATGAATCACCGGTACAATTAAAAATAAATTATAATATTCTCAATTCACAGTGTACTCTAAATATCAAGCTTATTTCCTGCCAAAGTGAAAATAAGTCTGGCAATCAATGTAAAAGTTCCCCATAAAGCAGCAGCAACACTGAAGCTGGGTTTTCTTCCATTTCTATTACTGCTTTTGAAACCTAACAATAAAATACCTACATTTTTAGCCTCAATGCTTTAAGTATAATCAAGAAGGGTTTTGTCTTAGATTGCATTTACTGCACCCTGTTTCTATTAGTTTACCAGATCCATTACACCAATCTGAATGCAGGTGCTGGACTGTAAATAATAGTCAGGACTCTGATAACTACTTCTGTTGATGGCCTGAACTGTTAGCCTTCTACAAGTCAATATGAAAAGAGGAAAGAAGAAAGGAAAAAATGAACACAGTTGTTCAATGAAAAAGATTCCCTAAAGTGACTTGTGCCTCACCAGATGGGGAACGGGGAGGAAAGAAGTCAAGAGATTGGGTATTGAGGCGTTTGTCCGTTCCCAGAAGAGTTGGAGAGAGGGAGGAAATACTCAGCAGTGGCAGCAGTCTGTAAGACTGAATGCTGGGGAGAGGGGCGTCTTTTTAAAACAGGGTAACTTTGGGAAGGGAGGAGAAATTAAGAACACTGAGGGGAGCCAAAGAAAGTCTCGGAGCCATTCTCACCTGGGCTGTGCACTGGGGATAGGGAGATGGGGAGTATTTTCAAGGAAACACGTTTATTTTTTATGGAACTCCATAGATGATTCTAATGCATAGCAAGGACTGAAGATACTGGTTTAAGGAAGCTGAAGCCAAAGTGCCCCAAATAACCAGAGGTGGTGGCAGTCAAAGTAATTATATCACAGACCACAGGAAAAGCATGAACTGGTTCTCTCTGCCTTTAAATTATAGTTTCCTGATTTGTCCCACAACTAAGGTTCCCTGAAATGCCAAAAAACAAAAGCCACTAGTGATACAGAGCTCTAAGCATTAAGAGTGGCTCTGAAAGAAACACTGGCTTTAAAAAGAAAACAGACTTACAGGGTGTGACGTTTCTTATCAAACATGTTTCATTCAGTGTTCATCAATGCTGGACTCAATGCCAACTACACTTAACACAGAATGACTGCCCGAGAATCTGTCACTTATTAGTTAGGGGACTTTGAGTAGGTTGTTTTATCTCCCTGGCCTCTCTTTCCTGAATAACAGGACTTTACAACTTCATGAAGTTGTAAAGATTAAATGAATACTAAGAATGAAGTGTGTTCCCCGCAAATTCCTATGCTGAAGCCCTAACCCACAAGGTGATGGCATTTGGAGATGGGGCATGTGGGGCATGAGTAGGTTTAGATGACGTCATAAGGCTAGGTCCTCATGATGGGCTCAGCGCCCTTACAAGCAGACACCGGAGTGCGCTGCGCCTCCCCACCCCAGACACAGCGAGCAGCAGCAACAGAAAGAGCACGCTCACCAGAATCCAACCATCTGACACTCTGATCTGGGACCTCCCAGCCTCTGCAACTGTGTGAAATAAATGTCTGCTGTTTAAGTCAGCCAGTCTATGGCATTTTGTTATAGCAGCTTGAGCAAACTAACACAATGAGTTAATAATACAGGTAATAGACTTAGAACAGCACTCTCAGCACATACCAAACGCTCGAATATAAGCTGCTATCAGCGGTAGTCTATAGCAATTAAGTCCTAAAAGACACTTAGCCAGAACCTACCATTCAGTTCTTAAGTTTTACTTATTTCCTTTGAGGGGAAAATTGTAAACAAACAACAAACATCTCCCACCCCCAAAACCGAGCAAACAAAAAACTAATTTTCAGCAGGACATACAGTAATGGCAAACAGTCCTTACCGTGTGTCAGGTACTATCCTCAGCTCCTCTGAGGGGTTGTGAATGTCAACTTATTAAATTCTCACTACAGCCCTATGAGGGGCTGTTATTATTCCCATTTTACAAGTGGAAAAACTAAGGCCCAGGGAGGTTACGTGACTTGTCACACAGCTAGGCCAGGTTGAAGGCTGGATTTGAATCCACGCGGCCTGGCTTCACCATGCTCCTAACCATTACTCTACTTCAAGATTGAAAAAGAATGTTAATACCTTTACATGGTTACACTTAGTGAACTGGCATGTCTTAATAAAGTCCAGTATTTTTAAATAGTCCAACATTTTAAAAAAATGAGCCATGACTTACTTCTTTAATGACAGACTCAGATTTAATAAAACAAGACCCAGCAAGTTTACCTGCATAAAACCAAATTAAAGCTAAAAATGACTTTGTAAAACCAGGATGAAGACTAACATTTGTATTGTTCCTGCTGTTTTCAAAACCGTTATAGGGCTACAACGTAACTGAATTCTTTAAAGGCTGACCTGGAAGGTATTTATGAATGAAAAATTTCCAATGGAGAAAAATAGAATCTAACATTTATTAACTCAATCGCTGGACAAATAAAAAGAAAAAATTAAGAATCTGCCTGTGAAAATAAAATCAGTTTGCAAATATGCAGCCAAGTCAGGTTTACCTAGATGCATTAATGAAATGTGCATGAGCCAATGTGGAAGCCCGAATATATGAACACTGTGAAATGGACACTAGTTTAAATCCTGAGTTCACACACTGCCTGAATGAGCCAGTCCACATTCTTTGGTAGTGGCAGTACAAACAAATTACGTATTGTTGACGGCACGATGTTCCCCACAGTGAATGTTAGCTGCTAAGGCTGTGCTCCAAGCTCCCAGGCTCCGTTCCTGATGCAGCTGTGACAGAACTGTGAACAGCGCTGAGGAAGAAAAAGGCTGCAAGAACTACACTATGAAGGCCAAAGATGCCAGCTCCATGCCACCCTGCTGCTGCTTTTCCACAGAAAACGAACTCAGTGGAAAAGAATTTGAAATATATAGAGAATGCTTCATAAGAAAAGAATACCAACTTATACACACGGTTTAAAACAATGCCCTATAAACTGAAAGGTACACTTATCAAGTTATTTAACTTGGACAGATCTGGCTTAGTGTAAGTCTTTTGTGGATGGTTCATACCTGAACTATACCAAAAACAACCTTCAGGTCTTACCTATTAGATTATTATGTGCCCAAACGAATGCTGCTGCAAACCTGCATAATCACACTATCAGGCTAGCCAGACAACCTACCAGGTACTAAACTGATAATGATACAACAAACAGTGATTTTTAATAATAATAAAGAATAGCAGCAATTAAAAACTCTGACAAAAAATAATGAAAAAAGAAGCAAGAAAGAAGGAAAACTTACAACCAGCTCAAGACAATATTATGATAAATTCTTCCTAGAACAGCTAGAATTTCAGTTACCTGAAAGCATACTTGGAGCGTGGGAGATTTATAACATTAGCATACAGACTAGAATCTTCAGTAAACTTCTTTACATGCTAATTTTAGGTCTGAATACCAAATTTTAGTAACCCCTAACTTAATTAGTAAGACCAGTTAGATATATGAAGAAAGGAAAGCTTAAAGAAATGGATACAGTTTCATCTTCAGAACAAAGGGCTGGAATTTTCAGATCTGTTCCAGGGCCCCCTTGAGAACCCAAGAAACCTTACGACCCACTATGCCCTTCAGAACCACTTGTTTAAATACCACTTCTGGGTCAAGGTATAGTCTATCTCCCTCCCAACTCACACACATGAACAGGGCTTCAAAATTATGGTGACATAAATGGAGAATGGCCTTTGGGAATACATCAGAAATGTATATAGGGCATTATACTTATTCTTACATATGCAGTGCTTTGCAATTTACAAAGGTTTTATATGCATTATTTCATTAATGCATCCATCCTAAGATGAAATAATTTCCATTTTAAAGATGAGAAACCCAAGATCCAAAGAGTTAAGGGACTTGCTCAAGGTCAAATTAGACATCTGGCTAAGTGGCAGAGTCAGGACTACCATGTCTAGAAAGTACATTAAAAGGCTTTGCAAAACAAAACAAAAAACAACTAGAAATATTATGGAGATCATTAATAACTGGCAGGTGCACCAGTGAAGTACCTACACCCAGACCCTACCTGAGCGTGTGGGCCCGTCACTAGGACTCTGAAAAGAGGCCCAGGCAATGCTAACAGGCACCAGGGTTGGGAACTTCTGATCTAGTTAGATGACACAGATGGCGGCAGGGCATTACAAACATGGTTTTCAACTGCCATCAGTTTTACTTTTATGTTTTCCTTTTGTATGAATTAATCATCACTCCTCAATTAGACCCATGAGACAGTTTTATAAAGCCAAATTGCTGACTTTAAATAAAGATCTCAGTATGAGCTAAACCGTGTGTATGTAACTCTGCATAACACTAATTAAATGAAACTATATTGTTCAGTCTTTTTTTTTTTAAAACTCTATTCTAGTCAATATTGAGAATATTCAATATAAAAGTACAGCCTTCAGTTTGCTATGAGAACATTTAAACAGCATTACCTTCTATCAGGAAAAAAAATCCAACAATACTACGTTTATACAATACTACATTTAAGTGCATTCTTTTGAGGAATATAAAGCTATACTGTACTTAACATAATAAATAAAAATAGCAGCAAAGGAATTTAAAGGGCAAACTATTAACAGATGGTAATTAGCACTGAAAATCATTTAAAAACACTGGATACTGGACCAATCTTACCTTTTGGAGACTTGTTGGATTCAACTGCGTTTTGTCAATTATTTTTATTGCAACCTAGAAAAAAATAAACTATTAAGTATTTATGGATTGGAAGAATGTGGTAACTATAGACAAAATGATATAGTTTTGTAAATGCCCAGACATGCCGTGTTGTGAAAAAGCAAGTAAACAAACCTCAAAAGTTAAAACAACAAGTTATAACACTATTTTATAAATATTTTATAGCTAAAAAGAGGGGCTTTGTACAAATAAGGGTACTATTATAATATATTAAGTTACCTGTAGATATGGGGGTGGGAGGGAGAGAATCTCCCACAAACCAAAACAAAAAAATAAAGGGAGAGATTATAAAATGAAAACACTTCTGGGGCCGGCCGAGTGGCTCAGTTGGTTAAGAGTGCGAGCTCTGGGGCCAGCCGGGTGGCGCATTGGTTAAGGGCTGGCTTGGAATGCCAGAGGGCCCCGGTTCGGATCCCACATATGAGAGCCAGTAACACTGCCCTCTACAGCTAAGATGCTGAACAACAGCTCAACCTGGAGCTGGGCTGCTGTGAGTCGCTGGCGATGGCATAGGCTGCA